CTTCTAGCTTGTACAAAAAAGCATATAAATGACATGGAGAGTTAACTTTCTTCTAAAATAGAGTTCTAATGGAGCGTCAATAGATTAAACCTCTATTTATTGTTTTGTTTTTGGAGAGAATAATAAAGAGAAGTTATATTGTCTATGCTTTAAAAAGTTTTACGGTATATGATTTATTTTTGAGTTTTTCTAAATATATATTAAATTGTATAAATTAACATTAATTTTAGTATTGATATTAAATAAATAAATTTAATTAAATAGTTGATAAATTAAAGATTAGTTTTTATTTTTTAATATAAATTTACAATAAAAATCTATATTTGTTACACTTAAAAAATATAAATTAAAAAAACCATTGTTTTTTTGTGGGACTATGATAAAAATAAAATATTAAAAAGTGAATAAAAAAATTTTACAATAGACTTAAATGAACCAGTTAACAATTCAGCATTATAATTATACTACCACGTGTCATCTTCAGGGGAGAGAGTGTACGGGCGTGTGCTTGGGGGCGAGTGTCCCTGGCACTGCTATTCTCACCAGTAACATAAGTCAACTTTTTCTTTAATTAAATTGCTGATATTTTCGCCTCAGTTTTGGCCTATAAATAAAGGCACTTTGTTCCTGAAAAAAAACTCTAGGCACATACCCATTTCAATACATTGTTTCGATCTAGTTAAGCTTGTTTTCAGTTTCATTAATTGCACCAATCCTAGTCAAGTCCATCATGTCTCTGTCCACCCTTGTCGTAAGAAAACCACTGAAACGAACTGATAGGCTCAAAAGGTTTGCCATCCCAACAAAGGCATTACCCTTGTTCCCACAATTCAATGGTCATCATTTGGTGCCTGTGAACTTTTGGCATGGCTCAAAACCTTGGCGTATGGTCATATCCATTCGCACGTACGGCTACAAAAAACCTGTAATCTCTAAGGGTTGGATACCCTTTGTCGGCGAAAATCAGTTGGAGGTTGGTGATGTAGTCACAATCTTCAGGGACGAAGATGAAGCCGGATTCTGGTATCGGATTGAGGTCGAGAGAGGAAGCAAGCAACTTCCTGCTCTGTATCGTGACCTTGAAGAGCCGGAGGTGCCAATATTTCACAGCAGTAATAATGTCAATGTGGGAGTTGCTGGCAACGTCTTAATGGCACCCAGGCCAACTCCAGTTGCTGTGCCAACCGCCCACAATAGTAATTTCAATATCGAGGTCGTTGCAAACATCCCTGCCATCAAACAAGGGATGCAACTGGGCCCTGGAAATGTTCCGCCAATTTCACAGAGGGCTGAAGAGCTCAGTTTGAAGCCAGATGACATGAATTTGGGGTTGATACCGCACAAGGGACCGCGAGCACCCATGTTTGCTGGTACACTTCCCTGTCCAGTAGAGGTGGAACTCAAGCGCACTGCGGGCGTGCTGCAACAAATTGCCCATCAAACCCACCATGATGATACTAAAACAACCAATTTGGACCCAGTTCTTAATCAAACCAGTGCAGACGAACTTCCTCTGAACCTAAACCTGACTCTGCCACCAGCTGTGGTGGCTTGTGAAGGAAATCAGACGCCTACAATGGGGTTGTTTGGAACTGAGGCAGAAAACTTCAATCCAAGGGTTGTTTTGAATTTAGATCTTACTCTCGCACCACCCAAAGTAAATTAGGTACCTTTATTTGCCCTGCTTTCTTTGTTTGCCCTGCTTTCTTTGTTTGCCCACACTTCCCAGACATCATTCGCTAGATTTTTGAATATTCCCCCTTTCTTTTTCTTGAATATCCCCGAAGTGTAGTGCGGAGTAAGTTAGTTCATGTTTGCCATCCACGATTGGTGGTACAATGGTAGGAGCTCAGTGGTGGAGCACCTAACTAAGTCTTAGTGTCAAGTCCGACCATTAGTATTAATTTCTTACCTCTTAATATTTAGTTCTATTAACTTCAAAAAAAAAAAAAAATTTGGTTCTATTACATCGTAATTACCTAATTAAAAAAAAAAAAAAGTTGATTTGTGTTTACTTTTGGAATGTGTTATTGTTTAGGGGATCATGCCCATTTAGCAGCAAATAAAAAATCCCAATTACGCGGAACCTGCTTGACTAGTTGACCCATCTTACTTTCGTCTACTCACATGCCTTCGTTTCTCCTAACTTCTGAAAATGGCAAGGGAAAGGCCTCAGGCTCTTTCACCCTAAAAACACAGGTCGATCTCTTCCCCTCGACGATGAAAACCCATCCTTTTGGTCGGACCCGCAGCGGATCGGCAGATGATGCTTTCTATGAAAACCCATCCTTTTGGTCAGATCCGCAACAGATCGGCAGATAATGCTTTCTATGGTGGTGTCCTTGCTCTACCTCGCATCCTGTAAGTCAAGATTTTAGCAAAAATTTTTGTTATTATTTCTTACTTTCCAAACCCAATTTCCATAGATCCAGCATTTTCATGAGACAGTTTGTTATTATCAACACCCTTTCCCTCAAAACCATGAGTAGTTATAGCTCGCTAATTAGCTCCATGTCTTTTCGTCTTCTTCTTCTTCTTTAATTAAAAATTTCGACTATAATTCTGCAGCCCAAAGTTGAACCATTTTTTGACTCTGTTTGGGTGAATCATTCTTCATAGGGTAAACTGGCGATCTTTGTTAGCCGTAAAAAAGACAAAGACATTCATGTTCTAGCTATAATTCTTAAAAAGAAAATTTCTCAGGTTATTGGAAAAAGGTTAAAAGATTTTTTTTTAATAAAAAATATAGATTTATTGAAAACAAATATAGATTTTTCTTCTTGTTATGACCTGTATGGAATTGAAAGCTACACTGAGCCTATTAATAGAGAAAAAGTGTTTTATAATCAATATTTCCGACAGTAATGTCAACATATGTTATATTAAAATTTTTATAATATTATATAATATTATGAACGTCAGGCCAGGCCTCTATTCGGACTTTTTTTTTGGTTAATATTTTTTAAAATTTTTTTATTGACATTTTTCATTTTTTAAACCCTGTAAAAAAACTGAATATTTTAACATATGAACGTTAATAATCATTAAAATATGTAATATGTGATATTTAAATAATAATTTAAATATTTTGTGACATTATTAATTTAATGTAAATTTTTTTTATGACGTGACATGATTTTTTTACGCAAGGGGATGCCACTTATACAGAACCATAAAAAAAAAAAACAGGGAACTTTATTTCTAGTACCAAAAAGTTCGATTCGTCGTCCTCACCATCAAGCTTGCTGTGAGGTTACTACTGTGGACCTATTCTGCAACATAACTTTGTAAAAACAAAAAAACAGAGCAATGAATAAGATCATCATGAAACAGAGCATGAGGAAGACGAAACAAAATCAAAAGCATATTTGAACTCACCCGAATTGATGAACGTCAGAAAACCATGAATTGCTTCCTTCACACAGATCAACGAAAAATCAAAACTTAAATGCACACACACAACTCTAAGGAGAATTGAAGTTCTTTACCTTCTAAATCACTGTAGCTTCCATTACATAGCAATAAAATTCCAATTCTCATTTTTTCTCAAAAGAAGACACTCAATTTCTCACTTTCTTTTGTCTTTTTCTCTTGTTCTCTTTTTCCTTTTTCTCTTCTTCTCTTTTTCTTACAAGCTTGAACAAGAAAAACAGTTGAATGACTGGAGATGAGCATTTAATCGCGATTTATTGTTAGATGTTGACGAGCGAAATTAGGATCTTGAATCTGGAGATGGTAATGACAAGGTGTCTATTCTTGCTCCATTGAGGAATCTTTTCTTGGAGGACCGAGATCCCCCATCGTCGTCGTCGTCGTCGTCGTCATTTGGGGTGGACGAGTTGGAAGGAGTGTCATTGGGAACGTACTGCGTCTGGACGCCGTAGAGCGAAGTCGAATTGTCCCCAGCAGATGCAGGAAGAGTAAATCGATGGGATTACTCTCCGAATGGTGGCTGAGGTTGTCAGATTTTCTTCAGAGGAGCAATAGTGAGAGTCATGTTTTTAAATCATTCGCCAAATTCGGTGACAAAAAATCGAGAAGAGAAGAAAGCGGAGAAGAAGAGCTCGAGCCAAGCAAAGGTGAATGGA